ATTACTTTAAATGTCCGAAACGTGTGGCGAGGAATAACTCTCCTGAGAGACAGATCGAGGGCAGCCCAGGGACGTTGTCTTGAATCCCTTAAATGTCATTCTCTCTTAACATAACTCGTTATCTGAAGGGCCCTCTGGCTATTACGACGCGGCACAAACGCTCGGCGAGAGAATGCCAGACATCCACAGACTTATCCGTTCCATTATATTAAACTTAAAGGGGGTCAAGAACACTCATGGATAACGTTGAAGAGATTTACAATAAAGCCCTCTTATTCATTGCCAATTACGAGTCTACTTGTTGAAATTTACTGATCCCCATGCAATTTATTTTGCTCAAGATAAACTTAGCTGGCTTCGATGTACGTTTATCTTAGATATTTATTATAAGCTAGAAATTACTTTAATCTGCTAGTACTTGAAATTAATGGATCAAGTATCATTAGTAAAATTGGTTTCGAGAATAATATAGAATCTAACTCCAATATTATTAACAATGACAGAGATGCCAAGGAAATTTCGCGAAGACTGCCTAAATGGCAGCCACGTACATAAATATAATCTGTTTCATCTGAAAAGCCCTCCGGCTATTAGGAGCGCGTCACAAACGGTTCGCAAGAACAGGAACGTCAGAGTTCCAGAACTCGAATAATACTGAAATAAACTTGAATCGCCGACGGTAAGTGGCGTATTATCCTTTGAGGCAAATGTTCCGGTGCGGCGAGTATGCTCCATTTTTAGTCAACAACGAACTAACTCTGTGTAAATGTGTCGAGACGAGGCGCAGTATCGTAAGTTTGAGATTGCTCTGCCAAGATGGTTATATCCCTTTATTGCTAGCAATAACGTCCGCTTAAGTAGTACACGTGAAATGGTGTTATTGGGACGATGTTTTCGCATCTATATCCTCATTGGGTATCTCGGTTACAGTTGGTACTGTATAGCCTCTTAAATATTGACATCGGCATATACATTTTTGAACTAATTGATAAATGTTACAATGAAATTATTATTGAACACCTAATACATATTGTTACAAATAAACATTTCTTTCAATCTTTCTTAGTTTTTACAAAGCAAAATAGCTGCCACGATTGTGTTGTTTGGTTAATATAAATTTTACTAGTTTGTTATATTTTTATCATTACTAGTTTTGGAATGATGTAGACTATTAATAATAAAATGTATTTTTTAAATATTATAGCCATCGATTTCAAGCTTTAAATTGTATTGAAGATAAAAATACAGAACTCCCGAGATTTCGAAAGATTTTTTTATATGTTCTCTTTTAAATATGTGTAGCGTTTAGCGTTTCGTTTCAATTTTACATGTGCTTGAAGATTTCAATAATATTATAATTATATCCTTTCATTAATTAAAATATGTCCTTTCATGAGTTCCTCTGGAAACCAGAAGCCAGAGTGTGTCCAAAGATGTGATTTGCCGAAAATCTTTTCAATATCAGAATTTACGTTAAACATTTTATTTTATTTATTTGATATTTTCTTTATTTTCATTTGATCCTTAATTTTGTGAAACATCAATAAAATTATTAATTGTATTATGATTGTAATTTTTATGGATGTTATGCCTGAAATAAAATTATTGGACTCAGAAATAATCGTGAAGTTTGAAACTAATTCTTCCCGTTATTTGCTAAAGACTGAGTGAGTATATTTTGTTAGAGCTTGTAAATAGGTCTTCGGATAAAATTTCGTCATCGTGTAAATGTTTGAATAGTGTCAGGTTTCTTTTCACTGCTACCTTATCTTCCAGGAATGTTGTTCTATTGCCAATATTATGAAAATACGAAGCAAACATTTACAAATTATTGGTGTGATTTTTTCCTATTTTGTTCTTGACTTAGCCAATCTTAGTATGACCAATGTTGTTTTTTTATTCTTTATTTATTTAGAAGCTTCGATAGACATATTCGATCTTGGAAAAATGTTATGCCCTATATGATAATACGACTACTTTTCCCTTCATGTATATCTTTGACTCGGACTGGTCTGGATTTTTGAACTAGATTAATTTTAAATAATTTATGACATCGGTTGGTGAAAAAATAACGAAAATTATGTTGACAATTACAGATATTGCAATTCTAATGTCTAGTTGAAATAGAATTCATTTATCTTGACAGAAAACTGTGTCGTCTACTCAGAATTTAAATTGCAGGTAGAACCCATAAATAGATGGAGCAAATGTGTGAATAATGAACAAAATACTTACCAATAAATGTACCATTATATGCTTTTCTATTCGTTACCTAATACATACCTTCTAGTGTTTACTTTGGGGCTAGGCTAATTGCTGTGAGTGTTAAAGTGACCTATCGAAAACTATCCGATTTTTCAGACTTTAATGATTTCAAGAAACATCCAAATGAATCCTCCTTATAAATATGTATTACAAATACTAAAACTAAAGCAATCAGAAGCTGTAAAACCACTCTTGCTCCGTAACGAGACGAAACTTCAATAACACTTTTTAATTTCGCTGTGGCGATAGTTTCATACCAGTAGATGCAGCCACCCAGATTTTACAAACACAATGTGTGCCAAATTTAGGAAGGAGGTCGATACGTAAAATGGAACGCAGACGTATAACTATAAACGTTACGCAGAAGGTCCAATCTCACAAAAAGGTCTTATGATTTAATTTCCGCGCTTTGAATTTTGAAATTCGATATCGGAATGATATCTGTCCTTTGTTACTATGTCAGCGAAATTTTTTCATTTTTAGTAGATTTAATAATTTATTCATTTTAGCAAAACTAGGACTCAGCGGATTTTTGGATGGAATTCAAGACTATCTGGGATAGCAACTTTCACCTTATAGAGAGATGAAGTCACATACCACTATGTTTGTATTGCGGTAAATATGGTGATCAGGTTTTCTAGATCAGGGTGATAGGGTCAGGGAACGCGTGATTTATGCTTACTGGTATATAATTCCTCTCCTATCCATGGCCACATAGTACATAAGCTAAGCACTTATGAAGAATTGTATATAGGATATATTGGCTTTTCATCTCAGAAACTCAAAACCAACCACCTCAAGACAAGCTTTATGTAGATAATTATTATAAATGTCTTGAATTGGTGAACGGAACGTGAAGCCGGTATCGACTTGGGTGTATTCGGCGAATGTGTTGGCAACACTAGTTACTAATCAACGTCATCTGACGTTTGATATCTGTCACTGTGAGAGTTTAAAAACGAGTGAAGCGTAACCGCATCATCCCCCTCTCAGGGGATGATCGCTTCAGATGTAGCTTGTAAGGCCCTTCTGGCCATAAGCATGATTACTGGGTGTTTTTTAGTCAGTAAGAGTCTGACATAACCCTACAGCCGGCTGTAGGGTATCCATGAGGATTTGTCAGCCGCTCCACCACCTGGGAGGAAACAAAAAAAACGGCTTCGGGTCTTTAGTGATCTAGACGTCGAGCAGTTCGGTCATGTTCTAACCCATCTTGAATTAACCACATTTCGAGATAATCCGTTTGCATGTGAGCAATCATAGCACATTTTAAGCTGCTTATTTGGTAGACTATCTTCATTAAAGTAAGACTTGCAAACGGAATATTATTTAGAGGATTTGTAATTGACGACGACCCGTCACTAAACGAAGTGCACTTTCGACATATTTAATACTATATATGATAACTCCAGCACTTAACGTTAGAAACTTGTAAAAATAATTAGTATCCACTGTGAAAATCTAAATGAGGTCTCAAAAAAGCCGGAATATTATTAAAATTCCCCTTAACAGAGACTGTTTGTACACTTTTTAACTTATAAAAGAAATTTAGAAGTAAATTGTACGTGTCACAGATGAACATAAAGATTGAAAGTTCTTATAAATAAATTCCTTAATAATGAAAAGCATCGCCAAACATCGTTAAGCGGGTACCTTGGCGAAACAAAAATGGAGCGCATAATTATGGTAATAAAGATGAAACATCTCGATATTTTGGACAATCCGATAGTTTATGGAGTCTGGACATGCGAGCGAGCGATTACTACGCAACAACTCCAATGTTACAAGTTAAATTACTTCTTGTAATGTTGTTAATAAATTCATTTCGGACAAGGGTACAACAGCTAGAGGCGGGAAAATGTTGTTAGTTGTCTGTCGGACGGCATCGGTCGCGGAACTTTTAAACTACTTCGAAAGTAACTTGTCACAATGATTTGTGAATAAAATTGGAATGGGAGCGAGTAAACGACTAATAACTTGTTCGGGAATAAAGTCAAACATAATATTGTTAGCGAGTTAGATCAATACTTGGTATGGTAGAGTGCTACGTTTTCGTCTATAATTTTTTACTATGTTAAACTGGTAGCAAAGAAGCATATGGCATGCCTGATGGTCAGTAGTCTACAGACGCTTGCGATATCAGATCATCTCTCATTTTGGCTGCCGTTTCGCGTGGTGGATACTTTTAAAATATTTTTTGCCACACATCCAATTAATTCCCCAATAGCATACACAACAAACCAAGGAATGCGCCTTGAATTGAAAATTGAAACCCTCGATCATTAGTAGAGTGTTCTGAGGAGTTATTCTCTCTTATCCCACCTTCCCCTTTCTTTCAGAGGACCACGCGCGCTGGCCTACGTTGTCACCGTCTAACTGTGGCCACAATTCCAACACGTACAAAGAAATTTGGAGACTCATTTCTTTGTTGCACTATCCGTAAATCGAATGCTCTGCCCGCTCACGTGTTCCCTCCCTCTTACAACCTGGGATCCTTTAAAAGAGGCGTGAAGAAGCAACATGCAGGCCGGCAGGGTGAGGATGGCTGGTGTGGCAGGTAGAACTGCTGTATCAGCTATCTTCGCGTCTGGACTTCACCTTCACTTAACATCAGGTGGGGTGGAGTCATTTGTCGGACCTATCTATAAAAAAAAAAGTACGAAGATGCGGCGATTTATTAGTTCTTACCTTCCTTTTTTCAAGTTCTACATAGATTTGGGTCAAGAGTCACTCACCCAATATTCCCAGTCTATAGTTGATGGTGACTACCACCAGCCCGGCGTGGGACGCCAGCACAGTTCCATCATAGGGGTTGCCCGAACTCCACTCGTAACTCTCCCCGTGTACAAAAACTAGCACTGGGTACCGGGCAACGGCGTCTCGAACGCCAGCTGTTGACAAATAAATTCAAATATTAATACACAGAAGACACAATGTTAATAATTTTAAGAAAGGTAGGGCAAATAAACCATTCGCAGATACTCGTGAAGGTAGGAAGGATGGAAATAGGAAGAGAGGAACGAGTACAGGAAGTAAGAAGAGTGATGGGTACAGAAGTAGTGGAGGGAGGCTGCGGGTATACTGACCTCATGGCCACGTCAATTGAGGACAATGAAGAGGCAGAGAAGCAAAAAAAGACGAAAGGGAAGGTTAGTAAAGGAGGGATTACAAGGCCAAGAGAGGAGAAGGTCCAGGGGCTAAGTAATGGATATAAAGGGACTGTCCAGAACAATTCAAACCTGTGGCTCCCGTAGGAACTACTCGTATATGAAGAGGACCGAGAGGAAATCGGAAATCCAGGAGAGCCTTGCCGAGGAGGGGAAACTGGAGGCGGCTAATGCGGAAATTGCCAAAGTGAAGACCTCCAATCAATGCCTCAGCCGGCGCCCGCCGCCCAGTGGTTGGAGGATGCATAAGGCATTTTTCAGACAAAAAAGAACTTCATGGCTCAGAAGGATAGTCCACTATTCCTACACGAACAAAAAAAATGGTTACTCATTTCATTGTGGTGCTATTCGGAAATGGAAACGTTCTTTACCCACGTACGTATTCCCTTCTTCTTACAATCTGGGGTCGTTTAAAAGAGGAAGCATTCTGCAGACTGACAAGGTGAAGATGGTTGGTATGGCAATTCATAACTGCTGCACCAGCTATCTTCACGTCTGAACTTTACCATCACTTAACATCAGGTGGTGTTGTCTTTGGGCTACCTAGCTATAAAAACAAGTTTCATGGCAGGCAAAGTGCGTAATGCTTTGATATCGGTAACACCTATAGACTAGCTAAAATAAATAATTGTTGAGAGTAGTCATGAATATCTATGGGCCAGTGGGACACCAAAGGAACAGAATAGCCCAATCAACACAATTCTCCAGCTTCTATATCTTCCAGCTATCGCGTCATTATACTGTTGCAGTATTCTTGTCAATATTAAAGAGCGATTCAATCAACAATGTTACTAAAATTAAAAAAGTAACATTGACAATTAATATTTGATGAATAAATTGTGAAACCATTGGCATATTGCCCTATTAATTCACAAGCACGAATTCGTCTGCAACAAGGTAATTGATTCACTGTCAAATTCAATTTTGCACGAATAATATACAAATTATTATCCCAAAATTTATAAAGGTTCATTCTATTTTTTCCAATGTAATATAAATATTTCGACTGATATCTTCTTAAAGCCGTATCTACGCAATATTTTCCTTTATTCGCCCAGATATCACTATTTTCCTCGAATGAAATTTTCTATTAACATTCTTAGCAGAGCTGAATTCAAAAATGTCAGTGAACACAAAAACTTTTTTTAACATACATTATAAGGTCAAATACAGTGTAAGTGCCAAAGAGACTTTGTTGAAGAAGTAAAACAATATATACCTATGACAAATTACGTTTGAACTATGTATTGAGAAAAAATCTGAATGTTCAAAGGGTTTCATAGGAGAATAATGTAGCAAGAAAGATTGTGAGAATGTAGAAGTCAAGAAATATCGAGATTTACCTATCATGATCAAATTGACCGTATACGTGATGTAAGCAGACGTAAAAAACTTGGCTTATTGTATGACTGTATGTATTTGAAAAGAGTTATGAATGCAGACATATGGTAAGATGTTTGTGAGGACCTTGTTATGTGATGCTCTGATCTCTCTGCCTACCACACCTGAAAGTTGGCGCGATGTACGCGTGACTTTAAGCAATTTTTTTCATAAACTTTTTTGTATATAAGGCCGTAAAGGAAGAAGTACGCTCTTTTTTGAAGTTTTTCAAGTGGTATTCCGTGGTCCGGAAACACTGCTGGTGAGAATTTATTCCAAAGTTTTGTCATACGTGGTAAAAAAATTCGACAAAATCACAAGGTTGTGGATAGCCACGCGTCAAGATGGTGCGATGAAAATTTTGTCGCTATGTATGTATTAAATGATAATTGTGGGAAGGCCAAAGGGGAAGATCTTCCTTCGAGCTGGATGATGGTAGGAGCTCGAGGGCCACGGCCCGACTGTTTTTTTGAGTGTGTATGCTGTTGGTCGCAGATGACTTTTACAGCGTCACCGGGTTTGGGGACGGCGAGATCCTAAGGGTACCTCAAGCCGAGAATTAGCGAGTGCCTTTAGAGGTATTCCAGGCGGATGGCATCTCTGGACCACTCGAATCTGAGGAATCGTCTCAACTAGAGGGTGTCTCTGAGAATAGAACCTCGGCTCTAGTTGTCGTGGGGAGCGGGTAAAATCGCCCAGGTACCACGTACCTGGTGTAGCATGTCGTGTGTAGGCTCTTCGCACTCTTATCCTACGGGTGAGGTGTGTCTGCCTAGTGCTAAGCTAGTGTTTTTTTTTTGTTTATATTCGTTTGTTCTCTTTATTGCTGATATGGTTTGGTATATTTGGTTTATGTTTTATTTTTTTTTGTTTTTCAGTTGTTTGTCAGACCCAGTCCCGTGGTGACGCTATTCCATACGTACCCGGGGGCTGGGGCTGAGGGATGGCTGCAGCGCTGCTCTTCCTCCTTCTCCTCTTTGAGCGGCTGCTGCACAAATGTATGGAGCACTGTCCCCCCGAGCCCTGGTTCTGCGAGTAGCACCCTGGTGGAAGGGGGCGGGGCAGGATGAGGGTCTGCCATAAAGGTGGAGGAATTGGTGCCGGTGAAGCGGGATGCAGAGTGTGGGCCTGGTCAATGGTGACAGAGGTAGGTAGGCTCGCCCGTTGGAGTCGCTCAATTCGCTCCCTAGTCCGGGTGGCCGCTAAGCTAGTGTGCAAGTATGCTAACTGTGTAGTTTTGGTGTTTGTGGCCTGTTTGGGAGGAGTCGGTGGCGGGCCCGACTGATATTGGTCGGGCATTGTATATATGGAGTGTTAGCCTCCGAATTTCATTTGCGCGATGTAGGATTCCATGCTTATTGTTCACAGTGCCGGTAGCGCCATTTCTTGAAGAGGCGGGCTATTATTTCCTCTATCCGTTGGTTATATTATATGGGGCGTGTAGATGTCGCCGCCATCTCATTCTGATTCCCATAACACATGTGTTTCAATTTCTTATTTTTCATTTATCAGCATGTGTTTCATTTGTTTAGTATAGTTTGTTGTTGTTGTATCTGTGATAAGGAGAATAAAAAATGCTCTCACGCTACAAGAACACGATTTTATACACAAGAGCATCTGAGTATAATATTATTTTCAATTATTTAATATGTTATTGTTAGAATAAGAGTATCACATTCAATAATATCGTGGTATACCAAGAATAAAGGTTTCCTGTTTGATGCGAGTCAAAGGGAAGAAATTGCAATTCAAAGCACTCTTTCATGGAACTCACTGACTACAGACAGAGCCGTAGCATAATGATAAATTGAAATAGAAGAAAAATATGAACGAATCCGTTTGTCTTGTTTTGTACATATGCGATACTATTCTTAGTAAATATATACATAAACATTACTATGTTTATTGCTTTTATGAAGAAAACGTTTTCGGTAAATTGAATGGAATCATTGTTGAAACAAATTACGAATCCGTTGGCCTTTTATTGTACATATGCGATACTAAGAAATGTTTATTGCTTTTAAGAACAAAACATACATCAACTGTTCGTATATTAGCTTAGAAAATAAACAATTGCGACAATGTTCAAGTTAATTTCGATGTATAACTTACTTACGAAAATACAATCTGAGTCCCTAGTAACTCAGATGAAATTCCCATACGCGCATGTCTTTACTAAGATTTGTCGTGTGGTTTTTACGGTGAGTGGTTGACACTGAAAAGCATTGATGCTCATGTTTCAAATCGATAATTTTCAAATTATAGTTAGTGATTTTAGATTAAATTAAAAAAAAAGGTCATTTAATAACCAGTTTTATATTACAAAAATTCTAATCGCAGCCAATACTAAAAATGATGTCGATGTGTAATGTGTATGTATATGTCGTAGAATAATTATATAAATTGAATTTATTTTCGTGAAATATATAGAGATTTTCTGAAAACGCGGATAATTAAACAATGGCGATGATATTTCCCAATCTTACTAAAATAATATTTTACACTAGATTATGTTAGTGTTGTGACTATGAGCGCGAGCAGAGCGAGCGAGAAAAAAATATTTAACAATAATAAGATTGAGATAATTTTTCAATTTATCGTATCATTCTACGACATTTATAAATATTTCTTACAACCTTACCAATGACGAGCCTAGCCCCACAGTAAAACCTGTAAGGTTTGTGTTATAGGATACTAAATATGCTATATAATAATAGCAACCACAATCTTTATAGAAAGGGGCATGGCCAAATTTGGAAAACTAAATAATAAGTTTAGTATAAAATTAAATCTTGACCAATATCCGTCTTGCGAACATGGACGGTGAAAAGGATCCGAAATGTCAATAACAGTGTTGACAAATGACGATCTCCATGGCCGAGAGGTATCTACGTGGGATTTTAAGGTGTCGCCTACTCGAGAGCGTCAAATCTTACCGAGTTCGAATCCCGGTGAGGGCAGATAAATAAATAAATATTTCTGACACTCACACCAATTAGCCTAGCCCCAAAGTAAGCACTATAAGGCTTATGTTATGGAATGCTAGGGTAACGGATAGAATACATATTGTATATATAAGTATATTCATATAAATACATATTAAACATCCATGACTGGAGTACAAATGCTCGTATTCATCACACAAACATCTGCCCCCACCGGGATTCGAACCCGGGACCTCTCGAGTCGGCGACAGCCTTGAAACCCGGCGTACAAACCACTCGGCCACGGAGGTCGTCGGTCGTCGGTCGTCGGTCGTCGGTCGTCGGTCGTCGTTCGAGGTAGGTAGATGTTTGTATGATGAATACGAGCATCTGTACTCCAGTCATGGATGTTTTATATGT